CAAACTATTTACTCATGTTCTTTTGAATATTGTTCTTATTTATTTTTTTAAATGGGTCTATTTTTTATTATATATAAATCATACTTCAGTAAAGTTAATTACATAATGTGTTACCTTTGAAAAGTAGTGATATATATCTACAAATTTTAATGTTGAATATCATCCTTTAATGCAAGTACATCAGGTAGAGGTGGATGCTCTAATGAAAGGAACAGATTGGTTTAATTCTCTGTAGTCTATACTTAGCCTCCACTCATCAGTGGTGGCTTTAAACATATGGAACTGAAAGATGAGATGATAGGAATCAGTACTCCTCTTTAACTAAGCTATGACAGGCCGTAATCCTTCAGTGCCTTGTCTTAGCCAGTTCTCTTGGTGTATTTACCATCTATTGTGGTAGAGGAAGGTTAACTGGTCTCCATTGAGTGACACCCCCAATAACATAAAAGCTCTAGGCTTGTTCCAGGAGGTTACTTGCTGACTGAGGAGGTCCATTCCAATAATGGGAAAAAGCATAGTGGGGTGGATAGGGGGAAAACAACCAGGACAGAAACATCTTTAAGTAAAACTGGGACATTAGTAGCAAGTAATTACCCCTTTAATTGATTCTCCTCCTAAGAGTGGCACCTCTTAAAGAAGGAGAGGGGCTTTAAAGCATGAGTGCCTCCTGTAATTAGCGAGATTTGAGTACCTGTGTCCAACAGAGTCTGCCAGTGTTTATTTTTTGGAGCTCAAACTACAGCCAATGTGGTAAATTGACAATTGTCTGTTGGAAGAGTATACTTTAGAGACCTGGATGATTGTTTGGGGATCAGTCCCTGCCTCAGGTAAATACCATGGGGAGGTGCTGAAAGTAGGACTGTCTCTGAGGGAGACGCCTGCTGTGAACTGCAATCTAACCCTAGTAAATATTGTAATTGCTCCATTGATTTATAAGAGATCGTGAAATTTGGGACCCTGTTGTCCCTTAGGGTCCAATAGAACCTTTATATTCAGTTTGGATTCACACTTAATCAAGAGCCAAGATGACTTGCTTGTCCTGGGAGTTTGGGTGGCCTCACTATTGATGATAATTTTGATGTATGCCAGGGGGAATATTGTTTGGAGAATTAATAGGCAATACCAGTTTTGAGATTGTCTTTCATGACTTGCTATGGCTTCTTGAAATTTTTTTGCATTAGCCATCATTGCTAACAAAGAAGACATATTCATCAGGAGCTCCCCGGAGAAAAACTGGGCAAACTCAAGACTCAATTCAGCCTTCTCTGGCCACCTGTTCCCTGGTAAGTCCAGTCTAACATCCCAAGCTGACAGAAGAAATCTTTGGCCTTGGCCAAATTTTCCATTGACAGTATCCCTGGATTATTATGAGATTTAAGGTACAGATGGCCAACCTTCAAGCCATGAAAGTCCATATCAATGTGGACCTGGGTCCAAAACCTTCTCTGGGAATCATTGCTTATTTGCACAGTGATTGTGTGCAATCCTTCTAAAGACTCTGCTTTTTCATTCTGTGCTATGGCTGACAATTGTTTAACCTCAGCCCTGTTAGGTGGTATTAGCCCCATGCTAAATACATTTGACATAGCCAGGAAATCCTTTTTTCATTTGGTTCCTGGATTAGGTTCTTAAGAAGAACTTGGCCCTCAGGGTGATAGAGCACATATTACCCCCTCCAAATGAGAAATGACTGCTCTTTCTTGACCATTCTTGTCTTTTCTGTAGTTATCACTTTGTGGGTGGTCACCAGCAAAACTGAGGGTAAATTATCCTTATCAGTATTACGATAGTAGAGTGCTGCCAACGGAATGTTCTTTGAGTCTGGGGAAGTGTGAATTTTTAAACAAAATTGAGATTGTTAGAATGAGGAAGAATATTATGTTGAAAATACTGATTAAAGTGTCAAACATTAGTGTCTCCCACATTAGCAAAATTACTGTAGAAAATCTAGCAAATCTAAGAAAATCATGTTAAAAACTTAGAAAGCTGTCAAAAAGCTACCTGCCAAAGAATAAACTCACATAATTCACTAGATAAATTCTTGGAAACCTTCAAGGAATACATTTCATAAAAAGAAAAAAAAAAGCTTTCAACTTCCTTTTTATAAAGCTATCACAACACTGAGAGAAAAATCTGCCAAAGATAACACAACAAAATAGCTATCTATCTAAGTAGACTACTGATATTTACGAATGTCATTGGAAAATTATTCAATAAAACTTTATAAATAGAATTCCACAGCACATTTGTAGAGTAACATACCATGACAAAGTAGATTACAACAGACATGCATGGATGGTTCAATATTATGAAATCTATAAATACAAGGCAACCATGTTATTAACTCAAAAAAAAAAAAAAAAAGCTGATTAGTTTAATAGATACCAACATTTAAAAGAAAAGGTAGAATCAGTTACCTTTGTTTGCCTATGGCATGATGGTAAAGCTGAATAACACAAAGGAATTTCCTTTAAAAAAATAAAATGAGAAAAGATAGTTACTGATTGTAAGTTAGCATATAAAAATCAATAGCTTGTCCTAAATAAGGAATGGCTACTCAATACATACTATATAAGAAATGAGAAGAAACACATAGAAATATGTGAAAAAATGGAAAGTAATACTTTATTTTTTATAAGAAGAGTCAGTATTTTTAAAAAATATATTATCAAAATTGTTGTATAAATCACTATGTTCACAAACCAACTGAAATTATTTTGTAGTGCTATAATTTTAATTAAATAATGTTTAATTTCATCTGAACATAAAAATACTAAACAAGTATTAAAAGAAAAGTTACGAGGAGGGAACTAACCTCACAGATACTAGAAATACAAGGATACTTCAAAAAGTTCATGGATAGATTCCTAATATCTTTCAATTAAACTTTTCCAGTACCTACCTTTTTAACATACAAATTTGCATGGTGAAAAGCTATAGTGATTAAACAGCACAGAACTGGCAAAAAATAGACATTCTCTGAAAAAAAAAAAATAGGAGTTAACTAGGTAAATATAAAGGATGGTTAGAAAGGAAAGAGAGAACCCCACCAGTGACCCAATACAGAGTGTGCAGGGAATGGGGCTACAGAGGTGGATGGGTGGGAGCAGAACATGTAGTACATTGTACATTGTTAGCCCTGTCAAAAAATCACACCCCGAGAAAAATAGGAAGTCACAGAGGTATTTTAACCAGGGATATGATGAGATCAGAATTTGCTTTTGAAAAGAACATAGGCGTATTATCACCAAAGTGTGGATTAAGACAAAAAAATGACATGGGGAAATCCCAGAAGTCAAAAGAGGTGGTATGGTATATTTTTTAATAAGCTTGGAAAAGGCTTGCTGTTGCTTTCCTATGAGGAATACAAGTTAATTGGGCACAGAATCTTATTTCTCCATGCTCTCTGAAAGTTGCACTAATACTTTTTGGCATTTGCTATCATCAAAAAGTCTAAAAAATATGTAGATTTTGTCCTATGTTATAAAATTTTTGCCTGGATATATCCAGTATAGACCTCTTTTTATCTATTTTTCCAAATATATGTTGTCTTAGTTTGTTCAGGCTACTATAACAAAATACTATAAATAGGGGGCTTACAGTCAACAGAAATTAATTTTTCACAGTTCTGGAGGCTGGAAAGTCCAAGATCAAGGTAGGGGGACAATGCGCTGAGCACCCCTGCAGAACAAGAATGAGTCTCCCAGCTTCAGCAGGGTCCTTAGCTATTCCAGCTCTAGAGGCAGCCAGTCCGGGATTCAATTCCTGGCTCTGCTTCTTCCAACAGGACCTTCATTAGCCCATAGGGGCCCAGGGGGTGAATTAGAAAAAGGTGCTTCTCTGTCAACACCTTTGACTTCTGTTTTTAGAGTGCTGACATGAGGAACCTCTTCTGCTGGGTCAAAACACTGTACTACGTCTTTTGGAAAGGGGTCTTAATAAATACACAAATTTTCTTCCCCCTTCACTCTCTACCTGATATTTCCACACTTTTGTTAAACTGATACATAAACACTTACCTATGGCTATTTGCAGATTTATTCCTTACTGAGTATTCCCATGTGCATGCAAATTAAAACTTTTCTCCTGTTAATCTATCTGCTGTTAGCCCTCACCCCTCACACTTCCTACCTACAGCAGATTGAATTATGTCCCCCCAAAACTCCCTGAAGCTTGAATTGTGTCCCCCAAGTTTTATGTATTTGAAAGTTAGCCCCCACTGTGACTGTTAAGAGGGTGGGAAATCCTATTATGATAATTGAAAGGTGGAGCCTTAAAGAGGTGGTTGGATTGTAGGACCGTGCAGTGGCGAATAGATTAAAAATGGTGGTCAGGGGCCTGGTTCTGAGGGCTTTAAAAGAAGAGGACAGTCTGTCTTTCTCTCTCTCTGCTTCTGCCATCTTGCCATGTGAGACCCTTGGGTCGCTGTTGCCACACCAGATGGACTTTGGACTTCCCAGCCTCAGAAACTGTAAGCAATACATTTCATTTTTCTTTATAAATCACCGAGTCTCAGATATTCTGTTATAGCAACACAAAACAGACTAATACATTAGCTAAATTGGTGGAGGAAAAGTTTTCCTCCCAATAATTACTATATTTTTAGTATTTTATTACATATTTTTCCTGGTTTTTTTTTTTAACTTTCTGGCATCTTACTATTTAAGTTGCCTACAGTTTATAGCCTGGTACTTATTATCTCAAATGTATATAAATATTGTTCTCCTTGATTTTCAGTTCAACAGATTCTTTTTTGACTTAATTTGTTGCATGTCTTTTGCATTCTCTTTTATAGAACATAGAAAATATTTTTATTAGTTTCTTTTAAAAATGTTTTTAGATAAGAGTAGTTTATTTGGTCCATTACTTCTCTGTTCCTCTGTAGCAGTCCACCCCACCCTCCACCATGAACTGTACGTTGCTTTATTTTTTTGTCGCTATTTCCTATGTGTTCTTAAAAAAAAATATTTTTGTATTTTCTGAAACACTTACAGTAACAAATCTTGACCGTGTCCATTGAAATGAGTGGATGACAGCATTAATCATATACTTAAAGGTAAAAAAGAAAAAACAAGATTATATAAAATAATCACAAAATTATATATAGAAAGCTTTTTGTGTGAAATAATAGAAATAAAATAATCATTATTTTGCTCAGTAGATACAGTTATTTGAGAAGAACCAGATAAGTACACTTCAACAACATAAAATATACAAGGATACATTAAAATTTGAGACAAAATGCTAAAAAACTAGGAAATTAAACTAGCAAATTTAACAAGTAAAATTAGTCAGGTTTCTTTTGTAGAAAAAACATGACAGCTTAGAGGGCCAAATAGTAAAGGAAAAATCAGAACAGTGGGGTTCAAAATGCAACATCCTCCAGAAAACTTTGCCTTATTAAGTTAATTGGTTTCTGTTTGCTTCTTCACTTGCTCCCAGGTACTTTCCTGCTCTGCTCCGCAGGTGGTCTCAGTTTTTCCTGAAGGGTGTGAGTGTGCAGTAAGTACGCGGTAAAAGCTGACTTCCTAACTGCCTGCAGCTGAATTGACTTCCACAACAATGCTGTAGAATTGCTAAAAAGAGGACGAATACAGCCAAGTGTATCACCTCCTTCTCTTTCTAGTCTTTGAGATCTTTTATTGGTTTATGCAGTATGAGAGTAGCCAGTCTGAGTTAACAAAAGCAAATGAGAAATGTCCTATTTCTTATTAAGAAAATTAAAAACAAAACATCTTACCCAGTCTGTCTTTACACATGTTTGTACTATGTTATGCACTACCTCCATTGCAAACATAATTTTAATAATAATAATATAATGATATAATAAAGGCCGGAGACTGTATTTTATTATTAATTGTAAACATTAAATTTTTAAATTGATTGGGCATTATGTTAAACTTTATGATTTTAAAAAAAAAAAGTTGTTTTGGAGAATTCATTGGTACACTCAAAAGATAATCACTACAGAATTAGTTTTTTGAATAGGACTGTTTTCAAACAAGTCTAGTTCCTGATGTGACACTATGAAAAGGTTTGGACATTAACCTACACAATTATCTTGGCTTTTATACATAGACTTCAGAGTGTAGAATTGACATGCACAAAAACTTGATTTTTGAGAATGATAGTTTTAAAAATAGATTTAAACTTAGCCTTATCTAGATATCTTTCTACTACTATCAATTTTTTAAATCTCCTTAGAAACTTGTAAAGCTCCTTTTAATTGGAGTTATACTGGGGTAAGGCAAGTGCCTGCAAGTTTATTCCATGCAGTTGGACAATAGTGTCTTTACTCTCTGTCAGAACACATTCTTGAACAATAAATTCTTTCATTTTGATCTCTTATTTTCATTGTGGCTATAGATTAAAAAATAATGTGTGAAAGAAATTTTATGCAGTGGAGTTTTAGGTCTCTTAGCTATACCTCACTTGATATTCAAAAAATGTGTTCTATATTTGAGTACTGCAAACACCATCTAGATAGAAGTCTTCTTAGAATAGAAACAGATTGTTTGACATTTGGTTGTTCCTTATTTTGATGAAAGTGGTACATGGAAAAAAAGTTTAGCTTCTGAAAAAAATTTGGCAAGTAAGTTTAGAAAAAAATTTGATTTTGCTCAAGGTTTTGGCCAAGTTTAAGTATTAGACAAAAAAGCTGGGATTGATAATGGAAATGGCAAAAGGTTACTTTCTTCATTTCGCTAGTGCTTATAAAAAGATCAGTTTTCACACCAATACTTGCTGAACAAAAATTAATAGTTTCACACACTCTCTTTGCCACAGGAAGAAACCACAGGAGCCCAGTGTTTCTGAAAGTGAGGTCTTCGACTCTGTGCTGTTTAATAATAAGATAGCAAATAGATTTTGGTGCAAGTTCAACTTTTGGGCATGCTGAAGAAATTAGAGTTAATAGTTAAATAAATAAATCATGTTCAATACCTTGGTTGAGTTTAGCAAAATTTACTCAGCTGGTTGAAAAGATTGCTGGGGACATTGCAGCTAAGGTTTCCAAAATGTAATTGGGAATGTCAAAATGGATCATAACAAAATGTACAACTGTGCAGATTTATGCTTTGCATCAGACATTCCTAATGCATGGAATAGTTACAGAGAAAAAGATTTCAGTGTCAGTTATGAAATTGTACAATAGAGGAAAATTCATTTCTCTATTTCTTTATGAAAGTACATTATAATGGTTCTAGCTATATGAGAGCATTTTTAATACAAAGACCATGATTTACAGAGATTTGAGTGGGAAAAAAAGTAATTTTCAATATGCTAATGTTATGCTGTATTGCTTAGAACATTGTGATCCAATAGAAATATAAGCCCTACATGGAATGCAAAAATTTCTAGCAGCCATATCTAAAAGAGTAGAGAGAAACAGTTGAAATTAATTACTATAACATATTTTACTTAACCCAAAATATTCAAAACATTATCTTTTCAACATAGGATCAGTATAAAAATGATTAGTGAGATAGTTAACATTAATTTTGTACTTCTAAATCAGGTGTATATTTACACTTACAGCACATTTCAATTTGAACTAGCAACATTTCAAGTGCTCAATAGCCACATATTAGACAATATGGGCTTAGAAAAATACCTATACCACTTCTTCATTTGAGTTCATTAGTATAATTATTTTCATAAAATCATGTACATCTACCATATTAAAAAATAATTAAAGTTAGAAATTTAGTCATATAGCTGAGATATTTCTCTGTGAAACTCGGGTGTTAATTCATCAAAATCAACATTTTCAATTGGAAATGCTTTATTTGTTCACAATAGATAAGAACAGAAATGTATAACCTGAGTGTCATTTGCATATCTATGGATTATCTTAATATTATAAAAAGCTCTTCTCTCCTGTGTGTATTAGATGTCTTGATATTTCTTTAATATATAAAATGGATATATGGGTAAGCTATTTCATGGCAGACTATGCCTGTGATTTAAAATTCATGAATCCACATGTACATTCTGTTTTCAGAGGATAGAAACTCTGTAGAATCCATGCCCCTGGAGTACTAAAAAGTGATTTCATTTACCTGCCAGTTCTCTGTCACTGTATCTTATCTCACTGAATGCACTCTAGTCCCTTAACTTGTCTACCATCACTCACAATGCGATAATAAGCTGACCTTTCTCTGAACATGTAACCTAAGTTAGAGATAACACTAAACATTTGTTAGTGGGAAAGGTGTATAATGGGCATGCTCAAGAGATGGACAATACTTGGACAGGGACAAAGTAAATGTGGCTGGGCAAATGCTCTCTCCATCAGGAAACACGATGAAGGTGGGAGGAAGAAATCATGAACAGGACTTGCTTAGACCACCTTAATGACCACTAATCAACTGGTGTGGCTAAAAACAAAATAAAAAACAAACAAAAATACAAAAACCCAAAAGCTAACTAGTCACTCTTAGTACATGAAAAGGAAACACGAGATAGCTGAAAGCAAATACTTTATTATATGGTTAAGGTTCATATGTCAAATTTTTAACAAGTTAAAGTGATAAGTAATGGTTAAAGTTCTTAAATTCAGAAGTTTAAAATCACCATAAACCTATGACCTTTTCATTGCATATCAGCACATTAATTTTGTCCCAATAGTATAGATATGTCTGCTATTAACCATTTTAATTGCCTTCATAAGTTTTAAATGTCATAATAGTGAACCACATTATTTGAAAATGTAAGCATTTTATTGTATTAAGTTTCATTAAGCACAAACACTTCCAGTCACAGTTGTAATATATAGGTCAAGAATTAGTATCCTTATTTTGAAGGTGATAATTATTTTCCTCTGTTGTCTATTGCCAAAGCAGAAGGGAATGAAAGTTGGTGTTAGCCCTTGAAAAATCAGCATGACGGCTTGAAAAAGCAATACATAATGCTGTACTAATCTAAATAAGAAAAATGTGTGGTAACATCATAATAAAAATGTGCACTTGAAGGAATATAATAAATATTAACTGTCCATTTCAAGTCATAAGTTATAAATAGCAAGTTTAAAATATAAAATTAAATTAAAGGTAACTTTATTAAGAAGCAACACCATGTATTTATTTGTTTCACAAATTTAATAGTACCTTTGATACACATTTATTAACAAATTCCATATAGAAAAACTCCTACATAGAAAAAGAATTAAAATCAACACATAGGTGTTGTGAATGCATTAATAGTACATAAGAGTACTTCAGAAAGTTCATGGAAAAATGGAATTGAAAGGTAATACAAATCTCATGAACTTTTTGAAGTAATCTTATACATTCATAAAAATCAAGGCTAATTTATCATAATTTGTCATAAGAATGAAAGACTTGCAGGTTAGCTTCTAAATGGAAAAAAAAAATAAAAACAAAAAAATCTCAGAGAGACTGGTTTATCCTTATTATGATGTCTAACCTTGTGTTTGTATAGTGTTCTCAGTTTCACCAGGGTCCTCATGGTCCCATGAGTTCTATCTGTAAAGTCCCAGAGACTTACAACATGAAATGAATTAGGGACTTGCAAAAAACATTGACTTACAAGAGATACTGAAATCATCCAGTATAAACCCCTTGCTTAATGGATAAAAAACATTTGGTGATATTTGCCAAATAACATGTTTTCGGACTTATAAATTCTGAATTCCACATCTCTTTTGGCAAATTTGCCTCCCTACTGTCCATACATGTGTTTTTGGTGGCTAAATTTTGCAGCTCCAGGAAAGGAAGATAATTAATTGGCTTAAGCTATCTTTCCAGACAGAGCGGTTTGACCAGGTAGAGGCACATTCTGTGACACTGAAGCCAGCATCAAGACTATTGTCCTACTTACTGTTGAGAAGAAAAGGCCTCTCTTCTACTGGCCTTGAGATTATAGAGATGTGAGATCTGAAGTTCTTGTGGTCGGTCATCTTGCAAATATGCAAGGGAGAACTAATTTGAAAATAAAGACAGCATGGTGTTGCTGCTGCTGCTAGTTTTTATTAGTCCAACCACTATACCATGAGGCCCTCCAATCCTGCTGTGCCTGAAGCTAATCCTATATCCAAACTTTGTAACCAGTGAAGAAAATAAATTCTGTTTTTGATTTAATGGAGTTTGGATTTGGCTGTCTATAACTTTCAATTGCAAGACTCTTAGTTGGTTAAAGATGTTGAAAATTACAAATCTTTCCAAGGTCAAAGTCTTAAAATGGCCCACAATTTAATCGTATTTTGGGGATCAGTGTAGGGACCAACCTTGTCTCCAACCTTTCACATTACTGTTTTTGTCTCTATAAAATGTTGTATTTCTCAGTTACCTATGATACTTCTAGAGAGTGGGATGTTGGGGGCATAGGGAATCTCACCATGGTATCTAGGTGTTAAGGTTTAGTTCAGTTGACAGTGTTGATAGTACCTTTACTAAATGGAGAAGACATCATGCCACTCTAAAATGATGTAAAAATACTTTTTGGATCTTCTTGAATAAAAGTATCTTTGAATATGAGGAAAGCAATAATAGACTAAGAAACAAAAAACAAATAATAAGTTCAGGAAGTATATGGATTTGTACTATGAGAAGAAGTTAAGTTTTACAAACTACTGAGATTTTTGAGTTGTTTGTTATTACATCATAGTTTGGCTTAAGCTGACAGATTCAGAAAATGAGGTACAGCATATCCAGAACTGAATTCTTCATCTTCTCTGAAAAAATCTTGATAACTTACAGTCTACTATACATTAGTTTATGTCAATGTGGAGTCCGTCTCCTGGCCAAAAACCTGTGTATGATCTTTCAGGCCTGGCCATAGGCAACTACACAGGCTTTACCTGGCAGGCTTCATGGAGAAAATCTGCTCTTCCCCAGCATGTGTAGGGCATAGCCAGTACACGGCAGTCCCTGTGCAGGGAGCTGCACTGTGCAGGGAGCTGCAGTCAAGGACTCAGGCCCCTTGGCTGCTCATGTTCTTACTCGTATCCGCACTCCTAGCTCAGGAGCCTTCATTCAGAGGCCTTTCTGTCTAGGGTTCCCCTAGGTCAGGCCTTCCCTTGGCACCTCTACTGAGGCCGCCTTATTGTGGAAATGGGAGGAAACCTTAAAGACATTTTTCTACACTTTGACTCAGTACTGAGTAATTTTTAACTCCTAGCTCAGACTCTCTCCTCTCCTGGGCCCCTGGGTCCATAAAATGAAAGGGTTTTATTTGAGGCTCCCTCAGCAGTAAGATGATCCTCAAGTCTGTGCTGATCCTCCTGAAACTTGCCTGGAGCCATTCCGTGGGGTGGAATGAAACATTGGGGAACCAGCACTTTCCCCTGCTTAGCCACTTGCTATGCTTCTGCAGTGATTAGAAGCTTGATTGTTACCTTCATTTTGGTCTGTAGTCTTAGTCAACTGCTCTGATACCAGACAGCTCAGCACTGTCTCTAGCTCAGTTCAGCTCTTAATAGTCTACTCCTTTGGAATAGTCTATTCCATCAAGTCATTTTGGACTTTATTTTTCTCATGCTCACATCCAATCTATCAGAGAATAATACTGAAATATATTCAGGAGGCGATCATGATCATGTTCACCACTTCTGTTGCTGTCATCCTGGGCTCCCTCAATACTGTCCCTCATCTGGATTAGTGTAATTGTAGCCCTATCATTTTCCCTACTCCTACTGTTGCCTAACTATGGTCTATTCTCAAAACAGTAGCCAGAGTGACCCTTTGAAAATGTAAGTCAGATCACGTTACTTCTTAGATCAAAACCCTGGAGTGGCTTCTCAGTTCCAGAAAAGTAAGAGCTGACACCCTTACAATGGTTGACGGCCCTAAATCGTCTGTACCCACAGCCCTAGCTGTCTCTGTGGCCTCATCTTGTTACTTCAACTTCCCACTGCTGTAACTTCTGTACTCCCACATAGCTGCCTTGCTAACTCCCTCACCTCTTTCAGGTCTTTATGCAGATGTC